GAGAGAGAGAGAGAGAGAGAGAGAGAGAGAGAGAGAGAGAGGCTTGTACTGTTTATTCAGCCTACAAATAGCTGGCAGTTGATTATAACAACTGTCTTTAGAATTTATTTTAGCAGCATCTTTGTCAAATATGCTTGATGCTTAGAATCCGATGACAGCGGGGATCCGGCACCCCACTCCTCTGTCTGCCTGCCTGTCTCACTTTCGTTTTGTTCCTTGGCCGCTGCCTACCCCTCGCATAAAGAAAGGCACCTGCACGGAGCCCGAAGGAAGCACAGGGGAGAAGTAGCATTCTAAATGGGCCCTGCCACAACCCAGCACACATTTTCCTGATGGTACAAGGGACCGACCTTCAAGATGGACAAGACGAGTAAGAAACGGCATGTTTGGCATCCTGGTTTGAGGGAAAGGACACGCCGACGAGTTTATGCCAATGAACTTGTTTTCTACTCACTGTATGTGCACCTTCCTTTCTCTGCCTCCTCGGCATTAGTTTCCTTGGTTTGAATATGATAATTACCTTACATTTTTGTAACGTTCACAATTTCAAGTCTATAACTGCTACTTTTTGTGACAAAGCTCAGAATTTTCCTACTTTTGCTTTTATTCATGCTACATTAGGGAGTAAAAGTGTTTTTGAAAATAATTAAAATGTGATTTTTAGATTTAAAACAGCTAGAAAATAAATCCTTTCAAGCTGGTGTTTCTTAAGGGGGAAGCAACCCTGCTCCATCCCTAGGGTTCAAAGAGAAGAGCAAGCTCGCAGGCAGGTCTGCTGTCAAAACAGTGTCTCAAACATCAGATTCGACTCAATAAGATACCAGAAAAAAAAACAGTCAACATTGACACATGGCAGTGCTTTAATCCACAATTATCCTTGTAACTTGCACCATTCCTTTTATCATCCATTAGCTTTGATTCCCATTAGCCCATCTAGAACTGTGTCAACGCTTTTGTCCCTGGGGATTTCTCTCCACTACTAGGATCTGACAGTCAAGCTTGAGTACTAAACAGGATCATTACCTCTTAAATCCACTTATCTGATCTACTGAATAGTAAATTGAAAAGCTCATTAAGAGCAACAATCTGATTTGTTTTCACGTGTGACAGGGTCATTTAAAATCAATGTAAGATTACAGCATTTCTTCTCAAAGACTGTCTCGCATTTTTCAAGGCACCCTATAATTCAAAGAACATGCAGATAATATGAAAATGTCTCCAAACATTTGGAATTTAATTATACACTAGACAGTAAACCCTTTGTAGAATAATTGGTGGGGGGGG